TGGATGGATGGATGGATGGATGGATGGATGGGCCTAAAGTTTGACAGAACTGTAGGATCCAAGCTGCTCTTCTTAAGAAGTGGTTGGACCACAGCATGTTTAAATGCTGCTGGAACACAACCTGACGAAAGAGAGGTGTTAACAAAATTTAAAATCCATGGACCTACAGAATTAAAAACCTCCTTCAGCAGCCTAGGTGGCACACTGTCACCAGGACAATGTGAAGGCCTCAGCTTCAAGGCTATTTCAGAAACCTCAGATAGAACAGTCATTTTATTTCTTCTGAAAGCCTTTTCATGTGATGAAAAATAAACTTCCTGTTGGGTTCAGTATGTTGAAAGTGGTCCACCTGAATGATTGTGTTACCTTCAGAAAACGGTAACGCCTTCTTTTACGGTACCCTTATTACCATGTAATTACAAGGTGATAAAATGTATTTAAATGTAATTACTAACTTATTATCATGTAATTACAAGGTGATAAAATTATTTAAATGTAATTACTACCTTATTACCATGTAATTACAAGGTAATAAAAAATGTATTTAAATGTAGTTACTACCTTATTACCGTGTAATTACGTGGTACTTAGGGTACAAAAGAAAATCTTCTGTTAGTAAAACTACCTTTATTGGGTAACTACAACCAAATTACTATTTAATAATAACTCAACACTATATTTATAACCAAAAGAATGCAACTAAATTTTGAGGTTAGTGGTTAATTACAATAAAATATAACTTTAAAATTGTCCAAATTACCTACTACTTATTTAGGTGTTACATAGTGAATTGTAAGTGTTACATTACTGCAGACAATTAATTACATAGTAAAATTGTACCCTAATTACAAGTAATTACATGTAATTAGGTAGTAATTATCATTTAATTACATGTTTATTACCTTGTAATTACATGGTAATAGTGCCGTAAAAGAAAGCGTTACCCAGAAAACTAACCTCTGCTGTTAGACATGTACATAATTTTGTCATTATGTTCATGTTTTAGGCTCCAACACAAAGAGGCTCAGTGAAAACCTCCTATAAACCAGACTTGGAGCAGGTAAGAAGACTATGTTGACCACACACTCACATGATGTTTTAGTCCAAGAAACGTTCCACAAAATGGCCTCAGAGACCTGTTGACCAATGGCCTTTCATAAATATCTGCTGGACCCAGCCACATCTCACACAGAAGTGGCTTACTTTATTTCAGCTTTGTTACTGCCTTGCTTTGTGGGGCACTTGCCCAGCTGCCTGTTGCTCCACATGGATGAATCGCACATGTGATGGGATTAAATACAAAGAACGAAGTCCATCATTGCATGGCATGTCTTTGTTTGTGGTTAAATATCTACAGTACTTTCATTATATTTGATAAATTGACTAATTGATAATTGGCACTAACTGAATGGGCTATAGTTGAATTCAGTAGCCATTTTATTTTACAAGCTTCTAAACATTGCTGAAATGGATATCGTAGTGGTTTTAATTGACTGTGATATTAAACTGAAATACTATAGTTTGTCCAATGTATGTTTTTATATCTTGCATCATTCTGTTAAATAAAGTTAGAGTGTAGATTTAGGTATCTCAGACAGATTACAGCTGAATTGTAGCATTGTGACTTTAAAGTTGTTACCCTGACCTAGTTTTCTCCATTCATCTTCCTGTCAGAAACCCGTTAAACCACCTCCACCATCAAAACAGTCAGGTAAGGAAACTTCACACACAGTTTCAATAAATTGTCTCAAAATGAGAATGATGTGTGGATTACACTTAATGTCTCCATTTTAACAACATCAGTAATTTTAAGGATTTATTTTTTACTAAAACAGTGTGCGACATCCAGCAGACAGAAGTTTAAAGTCTTAAAGACTATAAAGATATTATGTGTAGTGAAGGATGATCTTGATTGCTATTTGCTTAAGATGGGCATCATCACTAATCTCAACCAATGAGAGCCTTCGTTGTCGAACCATTGCGTGACAACGTGCAGCTGCTCACGGACTCGAGCAGCCAGGACAGAATCAAGGAGGAAGTCAGAGGATTCTTCATGGTATTATTAGGGGTCCAAGCCCGAGGAAGCAGGGTAACGCAGCTGCAAAGCAGCAGCGTTTCCATGTCT